CCCTACTGGGCCTCTCAAGGTGCTGGGATTACAGGAGGGAGCTACCATGCTAGGCCTCAAAAATTTAGATGATGAAACTTTTGCTTCTTCTTGACATTGAGAGAGGTTTGAAATTATTTAATTGACTTTCAGCACATTGTGAATTCAATAAAATAATTTTTTGAGGTGTTAAAAAGAAACAACTCAGAAAATGGCCCCACTACATCCTAAGGATCCAGTGCATCCTCAATTGCATTGAGTTGCAATAAATTATCCCCGTGTGTCTTGGCAATCCTACTTTTTGTCTCTGAAATACAAAGTATTAGGTTGTTACGATCATAACTTAACAGACAAAATTTTCCCAAACCACAACTGGTACAATTAGTACACAATTGAAAGAAGAGGGTCATTGGCCGGGTGTGGTGGCTCACACCTGTAATCCCAGGACTCTGGGAGACCGAGACTGGCAGATCACGAGGTCAGGAGATCGAGACCATCCTGGCTAACACAGTGAAACCCTGTCTCTACTAAAAATACAAAAAATTAGCCGGGTGTGGTGGTGGGTGCCTATAGTCCCAGCTACTCGGGAGGTTGAGGCAGGAGAATGGCGTGAACTAGGGAGGTGGAGCTTGAAGTGAGCCGAGATCACGCCTCTGCACTCCAACCTGGGCAACAGAGCGAGACTCCACCTTAAAAAAAAAAAAAAAAAAAAAAAAGATGAGGGTCATTATATAAAATTTGAAACAAAGAAAAAATTATGATCACAAAATGCATCTCTTTCATTGAAAAAAGAGTGATATTTAAGAACAGATCTCTCTCAACTTCAGAAAGTCCCAACTTCAAGTAGTTAGGCATTGTAAACTCATGTGTGACCTATTTACTCCCTTACGATTTTTTAAAAATCATTTTCCTTCTCCACCTTCCAGAAAAAAAAGTATTCACTCAAACACTTATGGTGGCTGGGTGTGGTGACTCACGGCTGTAATCCCAATACTTTGGGAGGATCAGGCAGGGGGATCTCTTGAGGCTAGGACTTGGAGACCAGGCTGGGCAAAACGGTGAAACCCCTCTACTAAAAATACAAAACTTAGCTGGGCATGGTGATGCACACCTGTAACCTTAGCTACTATGCGGGAGGCTGAGGCATGAGAATCACTTGAACCTGGGAGGCTGAGTTTGCAGTGAGCCGAGATGGCGCCACTGCACTCTAGGCGACAGAGTGAGACTCTGTCTCAAAAAAAACCAAAACCGGCCAGGCACGGTGGCTCAAGCCTGTAACCCCAGCACTTTGGGAGGCCGAGATGGCGGATCACGAGGTCAGGAGATCGAGACCATCTGGCTAACCCAGTGAAAACCCGTCTCTACTAAAAAATACAAAAAACTAGCCGGGCGAGGTGGCGGGCGCCTGTAGTCCCAGCTACTTGGGAGGCTGAGGCAGGAGAATGGCATGAACCCGGAAGGCGGAGCTTGCAGTGAGCTGAGATCTGGCCACTGCACTCCAGCCTGGGCGACAGAGCGAGACTCCGTCTCAAAAAAAACAAACAAACAAACAAAAAACCCAAAACCAAAGACAAAAAACAAAAACAAAAACAAAAAAACACAATTCAGCTGGGCACGGTGGCTCATGCCTGTAATCCCAACACTTTGGGAGGCCAAAGTGGGCAGATCACTTGGGGTCAGGAGTTCGAGACCAGCCTGGCCAACATGGTGAAACACTGCCTCTACTAAAAATACAAAAGTTACCCGGGTGTGTGGCACGCGCCTGTCATCCCAGATACTCGGGAGGCTGAGGCAGGAGAATCACTTGAACCTGAGAGGCAGAGCTTGCAGTGAGCAGAGACTACACCACCGCACTCCAGCTGGGTGACAGAGGGAGACTCTGTTTCAACAACAACAACAACAACAAAATCAAACACCATTTATTGAGAGCTTGCTTATGCTAGATACAGATCTGTGTGCTGGGGACAAAATAAAACAAATCTTCCCAAGTATTGCACTGTTTTAAATGTTCCCCTGATACTTAAGTTTCTCCCTACCCTTGGTTGTTTTCATTGTCCTTCTGTGGCCACTTTCCAGCTGCATTAACTCTTCCTTTTGTGTTGTTCCTCAGTATTAACAGCTTTATTGAGATATAATTCACATACCATATAATACACCCGTTTAAATTATACAATTCAATAGTTTTAAGTATACTCACAGAGCTGTACAACCATTCACATAGCTAATTTTAGAATTTTCTTTTTTTTTTTTTTGAGCAGGGTCTCATTCTGTCACCCAGGCTGGAGTACAGTGGCTCACTGCAGCCTCGACCTCCTGGGCACAAGTGATCCTCCTACCTCAGCCTCCCGAGTAGCTGGGACTACAGGTGTGCACCACCATACCCCATTGATTTTTGTTTTTATGTTTTGTAGAGATGGGATCTCCTTATGTTGCCCAGGCTGGTCTCAAACTCCCAGGTTCAAGTGATCCTCCCGTCTCAGCCTCCCAAAGTGCTCAGATTGTGGGCATGAGCCATCACACCCGGCCTAGAATGTTTTCATTACCCCAAAAGAAACCTGTGTCTAGCAGCAGTCACTCCATTTCCCCCCTGCTCCTTCAGAGACCTTAATCACTACTCTACTTTCTATCTCTATGGGTTGGCTTATTCTGGACATTTCCTGTAAATGGAATCATACAATATGTAATCTTTTTGTGTCTAGTTTTTTTCACTTAGCATGATTTTTCTTTTTTCTTTTCCTTTCGAGACAGGGCCTCGCTCTGTCGCTCAGGCTGGAGTGCAGTAGAGCGATTTTGGCTCACTGCAGCCTCGACCTCCTGGGTTCAAGAGATTCTCCCACCTCTGGCTCCCGAGTAGCTGAGATTACAGGCATGCGCCACCACATCCAGCTACTTTTTGTATTTTTATTTATTTATTTATTGTATTTTTAGTAGAGACAGGGTTTGTCATGTTGGCCAGGCTGGTCTCGAACTTCTGACCTCAGGTGATCCGCCCGCCTTGGCCTCCTGAAGTGCTGGGATTACAGGCATGAGCCACCGGGCCCAGCCACATCATGTTTTCAAGGTTCATCCATGTTGCAATATGTATCAGTACTTCATTCCTTTTTTGGTCTAATAATATTCCACTGCATAGAGAGACCACACTTCCTTTAACCATTTCTCAGATAATGGACATTTGGGTTGTTTTTACTTTTTGGCTATTATGAATAATGCTGCTAAGAACCATAAGCATGTACGTTTTTCTGTGGACCTAGGTTTTCATTTCTCTTGGGTACACACCTAGGAGTGGAATTGCTGGGTCTTATGGTAACTCTGTATGTTTTAACATTTTTGAAGAATTGTCAGACATTTTCATAGCAGCTGCACCATTTTACATTCTCACCATTCATGTGTGAAGATTCCAAATTCTCCACATCTTCACCATCTATTTTCTTTCTTTTTAATGTTACCCATCCTTGTAGGCACACAGTGGTATCCATGGATTTGATTTGCATTTCCCTGATAGTGATGTTGAGCATCTTTTCATGTGCTTATTATCTCTGGCGATAGACCTGCCAGGCCTTTTCTAATGATGGACAACCATGGCTTTGTACCCCAATAACATTTTTATTGAGTTTCTTTGTGTCTAGATCATTAGGAAAATTAATTAATACTTTCTCTTCCAATGAAGTTCAGCTGCGTCCTGCATCGTGAATGAAAGGCTTTCTGTGCATTTTTCCAAAAAAGAAAACCTAGGACTATTCTGGATAAGAAGTTACATTACAATATCTGAGCAGCACTTGAAGCAAGAGAAATACATACTCGGATGCATTATTTCAGTTTAAGGAAGTGGCCTGGCGCGCACTCTCTCTCTCTCCCTGTCTTTTAATCTAATATAGCACAACTGTCGAAGCAAATCTATAAGCAACAGAATAGTCTTAGGTCCTCATGAAGAGCGAATTGACTTTTTCATGTTTAAAATATTAAATACCGGTTAAGTTAGAGGTGAGATTAAAAATTGTAGGAAAATCGGCTGGGCCCGGTGGCTAATCCCAGCACATTGGAAGGCCAAGGTGGACGGCTCACCTGAGGCCAGGAGTTCGAGACCAGCCTGGCCAACACAGTGAAAACCAGTCTCTACTAAAACTAGAAAAAATTAGCAGGGCGTGGTGGCGGGCGCCCGAAGTACCAGCTACTTGGGAGGCAGAGGCAGGAGAATCCTTTGAACCCGGAGGGGGGGTTGCAGTGAGCAGAGATCACGCCATTCTACTCCAGCCTGGGCAAGAGCAAGACCCTGTCAAAAATAAAAAATAAAAAAGGTGTAGGAAAATAAACTGTCATCCAGTATAGCTGAATAAATCGATACCTTAATTACAACCTCAGTTTCTCTGTCCAAAGGCAATTCCAATTGCTCGCGCAAATTCTTTCATTGTGCTACGATTTTGGTTATTTTGAATACAGCTTTTCAAAGAGCTCTTGGGATTTGAGAGCCCTTGGTTTTCTAAGTGTTTTCAATAAGGCTTGTTTTTAAAGGCCGCGTCCTAGCAAGTGCAGCTGCCGCTCCTTACCGGACCCACGAGTGAGGAGCCCCGAGGTCATCACCGAGCGTGAACGCGGGAACATCTGGGAAGGAAATCTGAGGCCCTGCTCTGACGGTCATAACAAAAGCCTTCGAGCCAACCGGCGTGTTCAAATCACCACGGCCCTTGCCGCGCTCTCCTCCCCGGAAACTTGACCACCTAGCCCAGAAAGCCGCAACAGCTTCCTCAGGGGACGCTGTCTCCCACTTCAAACACCCTACCGAGAAAGCGGCTGCGGAGGGCACCTCCCGCCACGCCCAGGTCCGCCGGTCTCCGCTCGGGGCGGAAAAGAATCCTCCCCCTGCACCCGCAGCCAGGAGGAAACGCCAGAGGCCCCGCCCCATCCCTGTCGCTTCATTGGCTCTGGTGACCGGCCCCCCGAAAGCCGGATTCCTATTGGCCACCTTGGCCGCCGCTCTGAGCTTTTACCAGGGCCCGTGGCGAGCGTGAACACGCCCCTTACGTCCGGACGCTCGGTCGCCTCCAGAGGCGCCGTAATCGCCGCCCAGAGGGAAGGAGGTCGGCAGTGCGAAGAGCTGCTATGGTGCTGAGTTTCCTGGTAGAGCCGGCCGAGCCGAGGCGGTCGCGGCCATGAAGGTGAGGGGCCGGTGGAGCCGGACAGACTCTCCTCGCCAATCCTATCCAGCCAGGGCACCTGAAGCGCCTCCTTTCTTTCCGCCTTAGCGGTTACCTAGTCGGCATCTCGGAGAGCTGCGCTGAGGGGGGTCGCCCGCCCGGCTTCAGGGGCCCCAACCGGCCCAGGGCAGGCTCCCGGACCCTCTTGAGCTCCTCCAGTGCCACCCCCGTCAGCGACCCGAGCGGTGGGGAGAAGCCGGGCGCCCCCAGTGTTCGCGCCGGGTGGGCCTCTCTCTGCGCCGGGCCCTGTGCGCCTCCTCGGGGGCCTGAGGCAGAGCCACCAGGGCTCGCCTCAGCCTTGGTCCCTTGGCGCGCGGCGTGCCCTCTCCCGCCGCGAGTCCTTGAGCTAACCCAAGTGCTGGGGACATCGTGGGACCGAGGAGAACAGGAGGGGTGCAGGGGGTGGTGAGGCCGGGGCCAGGTTAACGGGTTAGAGAACTCTCAGGGCGGGGATGCCACCCGGAAGGGGTGCTTCTTAGGCTGCACGTCGGGGCCGCGACCTAGAGAAGGCTGGATGTGCCTCCATCGCCGCTAGGTAAACGCAGCAAGGAATTTGGCAGCTTGAGTTCTCCAAGGTGGGAGTGAGAGCGTGGGAGCATTACTGATGAGAAGTTGAAGAAAAGGGAGAAAGGGAGCGGGGGTTCCGGCCTACTTCTGAGAGATGATTCTCAACCCGATCGCTGAGAGTTCTGAAGAGCTCTGTGAACAGTAGTCAGCTCAGGTATTGATTCATTTGCCGAACTCAAACCAAGTGGGATGAGTCATAAGGCGATGATAACTTTCAGACCTAGACGATTTCGTTAATCTCAGTGCAGAGGTGTGCTGGGGGTGGGTCATCTAGCAGGTGAGCTGCTAGATTAACGCTATCTCCATAAAGCGTCGAAGATTTACAATGGAAGATTGAAAAGGAGTGTCGACTGGTCACAGAAATTCAGCATATATTTTGTTGAACGTTTTCTGTGCGTTAGCCAAGAGTGAGACATGGTGAGGAGAAGTAATTCAAAATACAGTCCCACCCCTTGGGAAGGAGTTTACCATTCAAAAGAAGAGTTATTTGCAAGTAATCATATTACAAGGGAGACGGCTATAGGTATCAAAAAAAAAAAAAAAAAAAAAAAGCGGAGGCAAAACCCTTAGGAGCAAGAAAGGATACTTCTGGCTACAGAAAGCAAGGAATATTTTTGCAATAGGTAACTTTGGAACTGTGCCTTGAAGTACAAGGATATTGTAAAAGCTTATTTTTAACTTTCCAGTTTAGTTATAAAATATTATTCCAGCTTGAAATATCTATTAAAATATCTAGAAAGTAGCTTTATTTCCTGAAAACCAGCCTCTGCCGTGTTAAGATCCAAAAACAAAGCAGGGATCTTTAATGCCTCGAAGAATGTCAGTATCTTTATTAATACTAAATTTGGGGCCCATTAAGGAACTAACTATCCAAGGAAAGAATTAGGGACAAGTCCAGTGTTGAAATTTTTAAACAAGTTCTTTGAAAACAGACGTGGTTTTTGAATTGAAGTGGAAGGTATTACTTTCCAAGTTGAAATTTTAGAAACAAAGTTGGGTGGCAATTGAAATTGTAGAAAAGATATGTATTTTCAGAAGCAAAATACAGACCTGAATAGACATCAGCCTGTGCAAGATGACAGTTATAAATGATGCTTTTGTTTTCGTGAAACTGGGTTTACACCATTTAGGATTTGGGCTGTTAAATGTTTATTATTTAACTTAATGTTGATTTATATTGAAATTGTTTAATTGTGAGTATGCTCATCTGTAGATTTCTGGGCAGAGACTGATTCCTGATGTCATGGAATGCTAACATGTGAATGTTCATGTAAGGAAATACTTCTTTCTGTGGAATTAAAATTACATTAAAAGCTAAGCAAGTATATCTGGCCGGGCGCAGTGGCTCATGCCTGTAATCCCAGCACTTCGGGAGGCCGAGGCAGGCGGATTACTTGAGATCAGGAGTTCGAGACCAGCTTGGCCAACATAGCAAAACCCTGTCTCTATTAAAAATTATTTTAAAAAGAAAAAAAGGAAAAAAAAAGTTAAGCAGTTAAAAACAAAAAAAGCTAAGCAATTATATAGATAAGTACATGTTCACTCAAACCTAGAGCAGCTGGTTTTAGTGTATGTGTGGAATGGGTATTTACTTTCTCCCTTTGGTGTTATGGTTTGGTTTGGTTTGGTTTGGTTTAGAAACTGATGTTTTGAAATAGGTCTTACCTCTCAGACTCAAGTAACTTTTTAACCTTACAATCACATCCAATCAATTTCCCATAAGGGATAAAAAAAAAAAATCCAAATTGGTGCTCTGTGTTAATTTGATTTAATCCTTTTTCCCATTTTTCCTTATTTATATTGATCTCACCGTTAATTGTGCTAATCTCATTTGTTCTTCCAAGCTCAAAATGAGCTATCAAGGAGAAAGTAATCTACTGAATGTAATTCCTTTTCCTTTTTTTTTTCTCTGAAAGGTGGGGGAGTGGTGCTAAGGATCAAGTATACTGTTAAAAAAAGAAAACAAAAATCCAAGCATGAGGAAGGTAACATTTATATCTATAGCACACATTATTGTAATAATCTATCAGTTTGACCAATGTCTTGTCTAAAAGTATTACGTTTTAGAGTTCATCATCTGTTTTTGCAACCTGCTTAATGTCCAAATGGTATGAGAGAAATAATTTAGGATGTAGAATTTCTTCCTTTGTGGTATATGGTCGGATATTTGGTCACTAAGAAAGAGTTAGGTCCCTGCATATTGTATTTCAGTTGAAGCAGCAGTTTCGATAAGAAATCCTTTCACATTCTAAGGAACATACGTTTCTCAAATGACTCTAAATAGGATAAAGAGGCCGGGCGCAGTGGCTCACGCCTGTAATACCAACACTTTGGGAGGCCGAGGCAGGCAGATCACAAGGTCAGGAGATGGAGACCATCCTGGCTAACATGGTGAAACCCTGTCTCTACTAAAAATACAAAAAATTAGCCAGGCGTGGTGGCGGGCGCCTATAGTCCCAGCTCCTGGGGAGTCTGAGGCAGGAGAATGGCGTGAACCCGGGAGGCGGAGCTTGCAGTGAGCCAAGATGACGCTACTGTACTCCAGCCTGGGTGACAGAGTGAGACACTGTCTCAAAAAAAAAAAAAAAAAAAAAAAAAAAAGATTTGCTTTGTCAGCTGTTTTTCCTGCTTTGCTTTAAGTTATGTAGGGAAGTTTAACCTAACCAAGGATTAAACTGTAAAACTGATTATTTTATATCACTGTTGCTAAGATTTAATACATCTTTTTCCTGTCGTTTAACACAGAACATTGAGTTTTAGCAAACTTAAGGTTGTCCAGAGTTTAAAACAAACCCTGAACATACAGTGGGTGAGTTCTCTGAGGAAGCTTTCACTGGTGGAAGAACTGTATCCCTCCTTGGTCCTTGTAGATTCATGTAGCATCCGAGACAATTATTTTTGAATTTAAAACTTCTAGGTTCATCCTTAAAATAACTATGTAAATAACATATTTAACTTAGAGTTATGGCAAGCAAGGTAGACTCTTATGAGAAGAATCTATGGCATTATTATTACATTGCTATTTACCTAGTTTAATAAAAAGTGAATGACGTAGATCATTTAGTTTTCTGTTTCTTTCTTTTTTTTTTTTTGAGACGGAGTCTCACTCTGTCTTCAGGCTGGAATGTAGTGACACGATCTCAGCTCACTGCAACATCTGCCTCCCAGGTTCAAGCAGTTCTCCTGCCTCAGCTTCCCGAGTAGCTGCCACGCCCGGCTAATTTATTTATTTATTTATTGTTTTGTATTTTAGTAGAGACGGGGTGTCACCATGTTGCCCAGGCTGGTCTAAAACTCCTGAACTCAGGCAGTCCGCCTGCCTCGGCCTCCTAAACTGCTAGGATTACAGGCTTGAGCCACCATACCCGGCCTAGTTTTCTGTTTTCATACTCATAAACTTTCTTTTTCCTTCTCTCCCCCAAAAAAAAAAAATTTTTTTTTTGAGATGGAGTCTCTGTTGCCCAGGCTGGAGTGCTATGGCACCATCTCAGCTCACTGCAGCCTCCACCTCAAATGATTCTCCTGCCTCAGCCTCCTGTGTAGCTGGGACTACAGGCACGCACCACCACACCCAGCTAATTTTTTTTGGTATTTTTAGTAGAGACCGGGTTTCACCATCTTGGCTAGGCTGGTCTCAAACTCCTGACCTCAAGTGATCCCACCCGTCTCGGCCTCCTACAGTGCTGGGATTAGAGGTGTGAGCCACTGCGCCTAGCCTGTCATTTAATTTTTATGGAAACCACCATAGCTCTTCTGATTCTTCGTTCCAGTCTGGCTGGTTGGTACTATATTTAATGGAATCATTAAAAGGGATCACATCCTGATGTAGTTTAGGATTGAAAATTTGTAGCCGGGCGCGGTGGCTCAAGCCTGTAATCCCAGCACTTTGGGAGGCCGAGACGGGCGGATCATGAGGTCAGGAGATCGAGACCATCCTGGCTAACCCGGTGAAACCCCGTCTCTACTAAAAAATACAGAAAACTAGCCGGGCGAGGTGGCGGGTGCCTGTAGTCCCAGCTACTCGGGAGGCTGAGGCAGGAGAATGGCGTGAACCTGGGAGGCGGAGCTTGCAGTGAGCTGAGATCCGGCCACTGCACTCCAGCCCGGGCGACAGAGCGAGACTCCGTCTCAAAAAAAAAAAAAAAGAAAATTTGTGGTAAACTTGTGAATTCTTTAAATTGAGCATTTTGAAGTATTTTCTCCCCACAGGGATTCTGAAAGCATATTAGATTATACACACACAGAAGCAAAGACAGCTGAACCTTGAGGCCATTTGAAAATCCTGGCACTGTGCCAGAAAGAGAGCTGGGCTACTGCTCTTGCAAAGAAACAGAACACCTTTCCTCTTGTTTTTGTTGACTGTAATGATGTTTCATGGGCTTATATTATTTGAATCTGACTGAGGAACCTGAGAGAGTCCTTATAACCTTATTGGCCAGAAACTGTCATTCCTACTCTTATGCAGATTATTTAGGTTTGTATTCTTCCCCCTCCCATTTGCTTCCTCCCCTTGGCTCCTACAGAGGAGAGGGGGCTTCTAATTCGTTTTTGGGAAAGGAACAGTATGGGAGAAACACTGTCAGTCTCTGCTACTGGAGGAAAAAGGGGGACTTGAATATTGAGGAGTTTCAGGGAAGGAACTGACATGCTTGGCTCAGTACTTTCTGGGACCTTCTCACATCTGTCTTCCTGTAGTGAAGATGGAATTCTGGTCTCCACTCAACTAGGTGGTAAGCTGCTCTTGGTCAGCTGTATATTATCCAGACTTGTTGGCTGCAGAGCTAAGGTCCTGTTCTCCAGTTGATGCTATCAGTAAAGCCAAACATTTTAACTTCTATTTGTCTTATTTCTTCTTCTTTTTTTTTTTTTTTTTTTGAGACCAGGGTCTTGCTCTGTCACCTAGGCTGGAGTGCAGTGGTACAGTCTTTGCTTACTGCAACCTCTGCCTCCCAGGTTCAAGCAATTCTCCTGCCTTACCCTTCCGAGTAGCTGGGATTACAGGCATACACCACCATGCCTGGCTAGTTTTTGTATTTTTAGTAGAGACGGGGTTTCACCATGTTGACCAGGCTGGTCTGGAACTCCTGACCTCAGATGATCATCCTGCCTCAGCCTCCCAAAGTGCTGGATTACAGGCGTGAGCCACTGTACCCAGCCTCTGTCTTATTTCTTAATTAGCTCCAAGTTGGATGTGGAAAAAAGGTACTGTTACTGGCTCCCTAAAATCTTGGTGCACTGTCTTTGAAGAAAAGAGAACTGGCATTGGATACGAGAATGACAGGAGGATATCTAGGTGTCTGAGGCAGTCCAAGGCAGGTTTTAGAATGTAATTTCTTGTTATGAGATGTGTAAGGTTTTTTTTTTGTTTTTTTTTTTGAGACGGAGTCTTGCTCTGTCACCAGGCTAGAGTGCTATGGTGCGATCTTGGCTCATTGCAACCTCCAACTCCCTGGTTCAAGGGATTCTCCTGCCTCCGCCTCCCAAGTAGCTGGGATTACAGGCATGCACTACCATGCCCAGCTAATTTTTATATTTTTAGTGGAGATGGGGTTTCACTATGTTGGCCAGGATGGTCTTGATTTCCTGACCTCGTGATCCACCCATCTTGGCCTCCCAAAGTGCTGGGATTACAGGCGTGAGCCACCATGCCCGGCCGGGATGTGTAAGTTTTTGTTTTTGGTTTTTTTTTTTTTGAGATAGAGTCTTGCTCAGTCACCCAGGATGGAGTACAGTGGCGTCATCTCAGCTCACTGCAACCTCCACCTCCCAGTTCAAATGATTCTCGTGCCTCAACCTGCCAAGTGGCTGGGACTACAGGTGCCCACCACCATGCCCGACTGACTTTTTGTATTTCAGTAGAGATGGTGTTTCACCATGTTGCCCACACTGGTCTTGAACTCCTGAGCTCAGGCAGTCCGCCCACTTCAGCCTCCCAAAGTGCTAGGATTACAGGCATGAGCCACCGTGCCCTGCTAGGTGTAAGTTTTTAATATGATACCTGGTTTTTAACTGATAGAAGCCAGGCAGACCATGGTCCTATGGCTGTTCTACTGAGAGCTGCTTTGGCTTAAGAGAGTGGGTAGGAAAGGGATTAGACTATCAAGAACAAGTCATTTATTTTTAGTAATCATTGATGGCTAGAAAATAAACTCCCGACACAGGTAAATTCTCTGAGCTTGGAGTTTTGTGCCAGGCATAGGCAGACAGTTGCCTCATTCTCTTATTCTCTGTGTTGTTTTAAACTACATTCATGGTCAAGAGAGGAAATTTAGCTGTCTTCACAGATTAGTGTTCTTTTTTTAAAATACAATTTCAACTTTTAGATTTGGGGGTACATGTACAGATTTGTTACATGGGTATACTGAGTGATGCCAAAGTTTGGGTTACAATTGGTCCCGTCAGCAGGTAGTGAACACAGTACCCAATAGTTTTTCACCCCTTGTTCCCTTCCTCCCTCCCTCCCCTTTCCCCAGATTATTGTTCTTTCTAACCTGTTAGAAAAAGGGTTATACTTCTTAAATACCACTTGGATTCATGTGGTATAACCCATGGAGTTTTGCTGCCAACTAAGTTCCCCAAGTAGCTCATGGAAGCCCAGATCATGGCTTGCATTTTCAAAGTTCCAGGCTTTTCAGAGATCTGGCTTTGGGCTTTATTCATGGAGGAATAACTGTAGGATTTTTTCCCCCAATGAACAAATAATGGATGATGACCCTTCCATAAAGAAGACACCACTTTGGAATTGAGGCCAGTGAATCGACTGCAAATTCAGAAGCCAAAGGGGTATGCCTAGTGTACTGTCAGAAGCCAAAGGTGGGGGTATGCCTAGTATACAACTCAGTGAACTGATTGCAAATTCGGAAGCCCAAGGGCTCCACCTAGTATGCTGTCTTTCTAGGAATTGGGTTTGCTCAAAATCTAGGAGGAAATGGAGTGGTTTGTAGAAGATGCTTCAGTCTTACTATCAATATGGAAGCAATGAGTG